TTTGTTTGTCTTCTTGGATTAAGGTTAATTCTGTTATTCCATGATTTCAAATCATTACCCTTCTCTTATTAAGATAAGAACAAACTTTTTTTTTTTTTTTTTGCCTTTGCTGATTACTGCTTCTTCTTCCTGCCTTCTGGGAGAACACCTGTTACTCAGTTTTTGACACATTGATCTCTCTGAGCCTGAGATTCTATCAATTCTCATCTTTTCAACTATATTCTATACAAAATTGCTGAAATTTCCATTTTCAGTTTTCTCCTCTTGCCTGAGTCCCAGGCTCATAGTTCTAGTGACTTACCGTTCACCTCCCCTGGGCTCCGTTGGGACCATTTAAATGTCACCAGCTCTCCTCCTCACCTGTTATTTTGTTAGTGGTTCCACTCTCCTGGTTCCCCAAACATAAAACCTTGGAATTGTTTCAGCTTACTGCTTTCCTTCATTCACTGTAGCTATCCCCACGTTCCACAGATTTTTCCATTTTGAAATGTTTTTTAGATTCATCTTTATCAGTTAAGAGATCAGTTTACCAGTTATCACAAAGAGCCAAACTAGCTGGATTAAACACGACGTAAATGTAGTTTTGTGTTGTGTACAGCTCAGGTCGCTGGTACAGGGGTGGAAGAGAGGCATGGCCGTGTTAGGAATGCAGGCTCCTTCGATTCTGTTGCTTTGTCATCCCCAAAGTCTTGATTGTCCTAGTGTGCTTGATTAACGATGGCTCAGCACCACAGGTACATACCAATGTTCAAAAAGGGGACAAGAGGAGGCAGAAGCCACATTCTCCTCTCTTTCAGGGTATAACCTAGAAATGAAATACATTACTTCTTCTCAGAGCCCATCTTTAAATGGCAAAATCCAGTTGCATGGTCTTATCTAGTAGCATGGGAGGCTTGGTTATATGGTCCTTAGCTATGTGCCCAGCTAAACTTCCTATTTCTACAGAAGACAAGGAGAAGAACTTCGGGAGCCAACCAGCAGCATCTGCTACACCTTCCTTACTCCAATTCTATTGTCTTTACCCTTTGGCGGGTCTTTATTGCCCATTGCCAAGATTACTTTTGGTGACTTTTAGCTGGGTTTACTGATGGCTCATTATCAAACCACCCATTCTTTCTTTAAAGAGCCGCTTTTTTTCCCCCTCTTGTTTAAACTTTGCTCTTAACCTTCAAAGCTCTTTGTAATCTGGTCCTATTCTACCTGTTTCTAATCTTTTTTTCAAAGTTCATTGATTCATTTATTTATCCAGTAAATATGTGTTGAGTGCCTACTCTGTGTCAGACACGGAGTCATTTATTTTCCTAAACTGGTGCTGTGGATGGAAACATCTTCATGAATGTACATACTAGCTAATGTCACAATGATTCATTTCTTTGAAGCTTGTTTTCACCATTGTCATGCTTGAGAGGTTAAATACATTTTAAGAACAGCCTTTTGAAATGAGGTCTTGCAGTCGAAGTGGTTAATTTGCTTTTAGGAATCAGATGATGTTCACTTGACACTTTTCAACTTTCAGGTTTTTATGCATTTTAAAACTATGATTTGCTTTTAAAAACAAAATGAAAATAGAAGAATGCTTATTGAAGCAGCTATAACTAGATTTAGTAGCTCATTGAAATTGTAAAATTGCTCAAATGCAAGCAAGAACTAAAGATTACCTCATGTGTTACAATTGTCCAGTTGCTTCTTTGTTCCCAAGCACATTAACCTCATGCTTAGTCCTGCAGACTGAGGTGTGACGATGTATATCACAGAACACACCTTGTTTGGACTTTGTCTTCCAGACTGCATTTTCTTCTTTTTCTATAATCCTAGGTAATATAGAGACAGATATTTACTTAATACAACTAATCTGACATTATTTTTATATTTAGTTCTTTATTCTTTCAGAGAAGATGCTGGACCAGGTCCAGATCTAGGGCAAGGTATATGAAGCTGAGTTGTACAAATACAGGGTCAAATCTTTATTTAGATTTTTGATGTTTTTTTTTTTTCATCATAGAGTTTCATCATAGAGTTTTTAATTAGTTTTAGTCACTAATTTTGATTTTTTTTAAAAAATTGCATTAAATATTATTTATCTTGATTTCTGAGGATTCAGGGACCTCCTGAAATCTTGTGTTTGAAGTTCGCTGGATCCTTCTTCTTTATGTAAATTATTTGTATATCGACATGGCTGGCTGCTTGAGTCATTAAAACTTTCAAGTGAGGATATATATATTTCAAAGAGAAAATAAATACTCATTATTTTACCAAACACTAGAAGCAAAAATTATCTTAAATGCCATCAGATCATCATAGTTTTAAGTATTTACATTTACAACTGAGATCAGATCAGGATACACAAGGAAACCATTCCATGAAAACAAGGCAGGGGCATTAAATGGGAGGATGAACAAGTGGCCAGTTTGAGTAATTTTAGCTGCTTTATTACATTCTGTCTTGAAATGGCTGCTCTCGTTCCATCTCTAGCCTGGTAGCCTCATCTCTAATGGCAGAGTGGTTATGTCATTTTCAGACTACATCTTTGGAGGAGGAGGAGAGGAGGAAGAGGAGAGAGTGCGTAGAGCCTGGGAGCTGCTTTAACCGGAGCAGTTCTGCGTGTATCTGTCTTACATATTGGCCATCTGCTAAAGAGTTCATTTGGAAAAAAATATTTAAAAAATAGTTTGAGAATCACTGGACTAGATGATTCACAATTCTGTGTACCTGTAGTTCTGATATGATGGATTTCTGCTGACCTACCCACACCTTGATCTGCTACTCTTTGTCAGGCATGCAACAAACACCCTTTGGTGAGACTGCCTTGAATATCTCCTAGCCTTCATGTATAACACTGTGTTTTCTCTAGATTTAATAGTAGTTCTAAGAGAGGTAGGAGAGAAAATTAGACCTTGTGCAATAACAATGTCCTACAGATTGTGCATCTTATACTGAAGTTCAGGAAGAACATAGTCGAATACCCAGTTATATTATTTTTATTTCATTTTAAATTTCTGTCAATGTATCTAATATATATGATAATTTATAATATAACATATAACATATTAGTCTATTAGTAGAGTGTTACTTATAATTTATAAAAAGAAATATTCATAAATAGGAGATGTATACTCAAAACAATTTTGTTGTTGTTAGGGGCATGCCACTGTTCTTGAAACCTTTTCAGAAATTACTGCTCTTTTGTTAGTAAAATTGTTGATAGTTGGTAACTAAGGATAAGTAGAGACTCTCCCAGTCTCTTAATCTTTAGCATATCCCTCGTAAATCTAAATTTTGATGAGTGTGAGTTATCAAAAATATGTATGGAATATTATTTTCAAAGTCCATCCCATAAGTATACTTGGACGTAACATAAGCTGCAAAGAGGTAGAGAGGGAAAAATAATTATGTCAGCATACTATTTCTTTTTTTGTTTCTTGGTTCTATTACAATGGGCAGAAATAGTGGAAATTCATAAAATGAAAACACTAATTTGGTAAAGGTATACAATAGGAATTTTTTAAAACATGCATTTGAAAGACACAAATAACAATGTTTAGTTTTATCAAACTGACTTTAAATTGGGTTCTTGTTTACAGTTTCTACTAGATCTTTGCCAAGAGCTGTATGCAGATGTTTGAAAAAAATTAGGACTACAAAAGTATGTTTTTGTAATCTTGTTTTTAGGGGTGAATATTTACATTATATTACATAAATTTTGAAGCTTATAAATTTTTATTTTAATTAAAACTTCCCCCATGATCGTGTTTTCATTTATTTTTCTCTTCCTCTTCTCAGTTCCATATATTTGGCCTGAACAAATTAGACTCAATGGAAGGGAAATAGTCCCAGATACAGAGTGAGAGGAACAGTGCAAACCATATGGGAAGCTGGGTACAGGAACAAAGTTAAAAGATGTTCATTTTGGATTTTAAAATTCTTTCACAGTGATAAAGTATGCATTCAGGCAGCGCTGAGTCTGAAAAATACCTCATGCACCTTGACATTCAACAGATATTTATTTTATTTCTCCTACCATGTACAAAATGTTGTGCAATAGGAATGAGTCACAGCCAATGTCCTCAAAAGGCTTTGAAAATTGTGTGAGGTGGAGATGGGAAGACAGTAATCAGAAATTTATAAGTTCAATAATGGAGATACACCAGTGTTTCAGAACACAGGGGAGGGAATGTACTAGCCCGAGGGGCATAGAAGTCTTCTGGGAAAGGGGTGCCCAAGTTAACCCTGAATGGATAAATACATGGTAGCCAGGGGATAGGGAGGGGATCGAGGTCAAGAACCTCAGTCACAGGGGCAATATAAATAAGGCAAAGGGGTGCCATTAGCTGGGTATGACCTCAGAACTTTAGGATTAATGCAGGCTGGGCATGGGTGAAAATGAAGGAGAGGTGGATTGGGGTCAACTCCTGGAGGGCACCATACATGCTGTAAAAGGGCTTAGACTTGATCCTGTAGGTGATGGGAAGGCTGTGAAGGATTAATTATAGAATGACTATGAGCACATTTACTTTGAAATAATTCCATCTGACATCTGAGTAAAGAATGGAGTTGCAGGAAGCAAGAATGCTAACAAGAAGAGTCATTTAAGATGTTGTTGCAATAGTCCTAGAAGAGTACTAACACCTGTTACTTGAAATGAAGGCTTTTTGACCTTTAACAGAAAGTTTTATTGTAGAATTGGAGGTTTTGCTTTTCTTAAGAAAGTCAAGTCCTGGTATTTGCCAGTTGTAACTCTATAAAAACAAAATGATTAAAATTTGTTAATCTAGGGGCATCTGGGTGGCTCAGTTGGTTAAGTGTCTGCCTTCAGCTCAGGTCATGATCCCAGGCTCCCTGCTCAGCGTGGAGTCTGCTTCTCCCTCTGCCCCTCCCCCTGCTCATGCTCTCTCTCTCAAATAAATAAATAAAATTTTTCAAAAAAATAAATAAAATTTGTTAATCTAACTGAATTTATTCCTTTTCTGGTTCTTAATAGCTTTTTTTTTTAATTAATTTACAGGAAAGAAAGTTTATCAGAATTTCTTCCTAAACCTCTTAGAAATAACAGCATATTTTAATCAGAGACTTGTAAGTATCTTTTTTTCTTTATTTAGAAAATTAGATATTGATTTTATGGAAAAATTGGCTCCTTCAGGAATACACTTGACAGGATATAGCTTATACAATCTGAGTTGGCATGCAAAATTTGAGTGAGAGTAAAACACACAGAAAATCACCTCTCAAAAAACAAAGAAACCAAAACCTCGGTCAGAAAACCGTCATCAAATTTATCTACACCTAGTTAATGTTTGACTTATTTTTTGGCAATTTCTATTTCTTGATGTCATTTTCATTATTTTTTCCCCTTTGTGAAAATATCTGTGTGTCCACATATTTTAGGAAGTCTGTAACATCAATGAGAAGGAAGAGGAAAAGGGTAGGGTGTGAACACAGGAAAGGGAAGAATTTGTATTCTGTTAAAAGTTACATGGCTTCGGACGACTTTGTATTTTCCAATTACACTTTCAGTGAAAGTTTTTACAAGATCAAAGGTAGGTCTCATAATAGCTAAGGTTCAGTCAGTTTCATCATATTTTTGAAATGTCTTTTACTCTGCTAGATCCAAAACTGGCCAACTCAGGAACAGAGAATCAGGGAGACCCTTCCTGCTTCAATTTAGCAAGAAGTCAAGACAAGCACATCTTTTTACAAGCATGTATTTTATCAGATAAGTTAAAAAGACTCAATGAGAAGGAAAAAAAAAAAAAAGCTTTGTCCTAAAAGTGTATCTGTAGCAACAGCATTTAATATTTTATTCCCTGAAAGACATTTGAAATCTAATGTAGTCCTATTTAGCACTAAGACAAATAGTTGTCATACTGAGTTAAGAGCAGAGTCTAGAGCCCATGGAGTAAAGGGAGGTTAATGAAGAAGTCAGGTAACTAAGGTCTGGAGCTGAGTGGGTTCTTCACTAGGTGGTAAGAGCTTAGCATACTTCTGGGCTTCTCAACTGTAAATACTTGTGTTTGAAGATTGTGGACTAGAATTGATGACTACCTTAGATCATTTTATGATTCTAGGACATCCCTGAAACTTTGTTGCTTAGTAGTTAATAGTCATTTTATCTTGGGTAATCTATGATTATTATAATGGAATTAACACTTGTGTAGTAGCTAATAAAACCAACCAACAGGAACTAAGACATATTTCTTGCTTGCTTCATCAGATAAGATCTCAGCAAATTGTTTAATTAAAAGGTGTACTGAAATCTTAATTACACATTCTGTCACAATATAGGTGGTTTCCTAGCTACGTGACATTAATTTTTAGTTCCAATGCATCCATATTTGAATCTTGTGTGTTTGAGCAAGTTACCTGAATTCTTTAATGCTTCCATTTATCAGTAAAATGAAGTTAAAAATGCCTATATTATAGGCTTGTATGGGGATTAAGTGAAATGATGAAACAATACAATATAAATAATAATACTGAAATAACCTACTGCAATCAAAATTTCCTATCTTTACTATATTGTTTCATAGACTTTGAGGTTTTGCCCATATAATGATTTCATTTGTCTGTGTATATAAATTATTTATAAAATCACTGAAAGAATTGTGAGAATGGAGATTTTTGGCCAAATTCCCAGATATTTTTAAAGAGCATCTCAGATAAGTCACATGAAAATGACCTACAGGCTACTCTTTGAGAAACACAAATTTTCTTTTAAAAATGAGCCTCAGGGCGCCTGGGTGGCTCAGTCGTTAAGCGTCTGCCTTCGGCTCAGGTCATGATCCCAGGGTCCTGGGATCGAGCCCCACATCGGGCTCCCTGCTCGGCGGGGAGCCTGCTTCTCCCTCTCCCACTCCCCCTGCTTGTGTTCCTCTCTCGCTGTGTCTCTCTGTCAAATAAATAAATAAAATCTTTAAAAAAAAAAATGAGCCTCAAAGTGGTTGATTTATCAAATCACAAGGGAACTTTGTACAAAATACATATTCCTAGGGCACCATCTTGGAGATTCCAATTTGGCAGATCTGGAGCAAGGCTTTACAACTTGTGTTTTAAACAAGTTGCCATGCTGATTTTGATTTTTGCAAACCACTGCTCTACAACCTCACCATATCTCTGCCTTTTAATTGATAAAGCTTATAGCTGTGCTTCCCATAAGTAGATGAGGGGATATCATTATTTGTCAATGCTTCAACTAGTCCAGTTCAAGTTCCAGGGGTGATAAGCTTGGATGTCTGCATTTGTGTACATTAACCAGATTGGCAGTCTTCTCTACCTTGGTTGGGTAACTGCTTTAAGTAAATCAAGCCAAGCCCATAAATTGTGGAACCCCTGAGTGAGAAAGGACTGTTAGAGACCGTCTAGTTTAAACCCTTTTTTCACAGAGGAGGAAAATGAGTCTCAGAGGTCTGATGAAGGCCACAGGACAAGACCAGAACTAACTTTTGAATTTCTGTTCCCAGCTCAGTTCCATTTCCATCGCAGTCGGTTGACTTTGATTCTGCCATTTCAATAACGTGCAACCTGTGAAACCAGCTACTCTTGTGCTGGCTGTAGGCTTCCCAGCAGGCATAGAAAGTGCTGTATGAGTCAGCTTTCCTACTTAACTGTTCAGCTGTCTGAAAGTGACAGCTTCTTCCTCTCCATCTCCAGTTCTCTATCTTGAATAACAAAGAGGCAGGAAGGCCACTGAGGGACTGAAGGTACTCCCCAGGAGAGGCAGCCTGTTCCAGCAGGGGTATCATCTTCTCAGTTACCTTCCTGATTCTTTATCTTAGCCAGAGTCATCTGCTTTTTCTCCAGCTATCTCTGGATAGCAAAGGCATCATTGCTTTTGTCTGTCATTTTACTCTTGCATCATTTTCTCTTAGCATTCTTTACATCATGTTAGTTGCCCTCCTTTGGACACCATTTAGCTCTGGAGTGCCATTAAGTTCAACAGATATTAAATACTACTGTGTCCCAAGAACAGTCTTGGGTACCAGAGATGTAAAATGAAGCTAGCATGGTCCTAGTTTCAGAAGAGTTTACAGTGTCGTGGGGAAGGAGATCAGTATAACAAATCTGCAGGAGTGCTTGAGAGTGTTACAGTAGCCACCATGTCAGGAGAGTCAAAGAAATATTGGGAAAGGAAGTGACATCAGTCTGTTTCAAGTGAAAAAACCATAACCCATAGGATAAGTATGCAACCTTTTGCAACCACATGAAGCGAATGTTTCTAAGGTTTAATGAAGAGAGCTAATGCAATCAGAGATGAATAAGGTGGGTGTTGGCATGATGGTGAGAAAGGGACACTGCAACGTGTAGCAGGAGACCGGGGTCTTCTACTCACACTACCAACCCCAACCTATGTGACTTGTGCCAATCCAGCGAGACTCTTCAGGCCCCACTTGAGTGCTCACTCAGTTCATTCTAATAATGAAATTCAAGTTATAGGCTGTCCTACATTCCTGAGATACAGTCGGGTGGAGGAAAAGTACCTCCCAGATGAAGTGCTATCTGAGCCAAAGCCTCAGTTTTGAGTAGGTATTGATTGGGTAAAGAGAAGCTTTGGAAGGAGAATGCTCCAGCCAGGAGGAACTGCGTCCATCCATTGGCCTGTGTCTGGGGGTGAAGGGAGTATTTCTGAGAGCTACAAATCCTTAGTGGGGAGCAGTTTCTCTCAGCTGCTGGACCACAGGGGAGGAGAAGCAAGAGGCAAGTCTGGGATATAAGCAGAATGTAGATCATACAGGGTGTTGTTAGTCATGCTAAGGACCTGGGCAACTTTTTCTTGGCTTAAGGAGAATGGTCGAAGAGCTGAGATTTAAGATTTGTGTGGCTGAATTTAAGAATGGAAGAGGAAAAGAAACTGAAGCAGGATAAATAGTGAAGGGGATAATCCGATCTGGAGATGTGGTGCCCCTAACTAGGTTAGTAAAAAAGTGAGCAGAGCAGTAGTTGGTCCATCAACTAAAGAGCTATTTAGAGAATAGAGTTTATATGACTTGATGGTCATGGAGGTGAGGGAAAAGGATGCCTGCTAGGCTTCTGACCTGTGCAACTGGGTGGATTTTAGTGCTGTTCATGGAGAAATAAACCCAGGAGGAGGAACCGGTTTCAAAAGGAATTCGAGAATCTCTAACATGAGGGGAGGAAACCAGCCAATCCGTCCCAGGGCTCTTCATACTAACTGGCCTTCCACATGCTGAGAATATCACACACGTTGTCACACTTAGTCTTCTCAGCTGTGGGAGGTAGTATTCTGTGCTCAAAAGATGTGAAAGCTGAGGCTCAGAGAGCTTAATGCCTTGTATAAGGTCCCTTAGCTAATAAGTAGTGGAGCCAAAAGTTCAGACCAGAGTCAAACCAGGTGTATTTCATTCGAAAGCAGGCACACCTTCTATTTTATCACTCCCTTTTCCCTTTGAGTCTGATACGTGTAATTCTGTGAAAATAGGTCACTTGTAGAACACGAGTAACTTTAGACTTTATGGATTGTTAAATTGAAGGCATAAACTCTACCTTCTTACTGGTCATTATCTCTCACCTGGGATACTGCAATTGTCTCCAAACTCATCTCTTGAATACACTCTTCTTTTCCAATCTGCACCGAAGTGATCTTTTTGAAGTTCAATTTTGATCATCCCATGCTATTGCTTCAAAAATGTCGATGACTTTCCATTGCTGTTAGGATAGAACAAATCCTTAACATGCCCCAATGATGTAGACCCTGTTAACTGATCCACTTTATCTTGTGCCATTTTCCACCTTCTTCTCTGTGCTTAGGCCACACTGGCCTTCCCTCAGCTTCTGAAATGTGCTATGTTCTTCTCCTCTGCATGAAATACTCTTCTTCTGCCTCTATATCAACCAGCTAGCTCCTTTTCTTAATATCTCAGCTTATCTTGTCAATGAATCAGGTTCTGATACACTCACAAAATAAACTATTTTTTCACCTAAGACCACAGTTTGTATTTATACATGGATTTGTGTTCATTATTTTTTTCTCATTAGATTCCATTGAAGTAGTTATATAACTGTTTTGCCAGTCATATAATTGGCACTCAATAGATATTTTCCAAGCAAATTAATAAATT